GACATGATGAAGGCCCGAACCCCACACCCTAGGCTTGGGATGCTGCCACTGCCGATTGGTGGTGGTTTAGGGTTTAGGGTTTAGGGTTTAGGGTTTAGGGTTTAGGGTTTAGGGTTTAGGGTTTAGGGTTTAGGGTTTAGGGTTTAGGGTTTAGGGTTTAGGGTTTAGGGTTTAGGGTTTAGGGTTTAGGGTTTTGTGCTCATTTTGATGTTATCATGTATTTTCATTCTTTGTGTTTTTTGTGGTTGGGTGGGGCGGGGGGTTCGGGGAGGGGCTGGGGGTCCTGGGTTTAGCGGCTCAGGGTCTAAGAACCTACTGGGGTACCTCGGACCCTTATGTTTGCCCTTGGGCTTTCTTGGCTGCACTTAGGAGGGTAGCTAAAAATTAAAATTTTAGCTGCCTTCTGAAGAAACCCAATAAACCCAAAAAGGCAAGGATCTAAAGTTACAGTAAGCACCACAAAGCTCGGACCCTTATGTTTACCCTTGGGCTTTCAGGACCCTCTTCAACGATCCTTCAGGTAGTATAAGAGTCATCCTTTGGCCCTTGTCCTCATCCCTTGAAGCCCCCTAAGCCTACACCCCCCAAAGCATCCCCTGAACCCTGGGCTGGGGGGTTTAGGGTTTAGGGTTTGGGGTTTAGGGTTTAGGGTTTAAGGTTTAGGGTTTTGGGTTTAGGGTTTGCGGCAGAAGGCATGGGGGACTAGGGCTTGGATTGCACGGCTTAATCGACAGGGGTGCCCTAAACCCTAAACAGGGGGTAAAGTTCAAGAGGACCCCTGTCTCGCACACGGCGTCCTGCGGATTAGGGTGTAGGGTTTTGGGGTTTAGTGGTTAGGGTTTAGGGTTTAGGGTCTGTAGGGCTCTAACTCTAGCATTGCTATATGACTATAATCCCTACTAAGGTATCTGAGCCGTATTATACGCGGTGCCTAAAGGTGCTTGAAACTGCTAACTTGCCTGTCGTGTTCTTAGCCTTGGGGCCCATATCTGGGTATGCCCTGACTGTAGCCTGGAGTTTGTTTCTTGTCTTTTGTTCTGTAGGGATACTCCTCTTGGAGGACGTTACTGGGACACAACGCTAAAACAAAACCTGTCTTCTTGTCTGACTTCTGAGTGCTCCATGGTCCTACACCTTAACACTCGCGCAAAACAAAACTTGGCATCCATAAAACACTCAAAAATGGAATGATTTGTCAAAACTGAAGGGTGGAGAAAAGAATTGGGCCTGGGCGGTACCGTTTGGAAGTCGATAACATGTCGAATCTGTGTGTTTCAGCACGCTGCATTGCAGCATGTTTGCCCCAGATGATCCGGACACCAACGCTTGAAGATTCAGAACGAAAGGCTTTAGGGCTGTCGGGGTTAAGAATTCAAGGGTCAGAATCTTCTGGGGTTTCGGGCTTGGGTTTGGGATTCTAGTGACCCTCTCTCTTCTAGGATGCGGGCTTGAGTCTCAAGATTGAGAAACGGGAATCCCACATGGCCGGAGAAATGACAAGACCTTTCACTGGATTTGCGCGACTGAAGCTCATCGAGTTGGCTCACGTGCAGGCTGCAAAGCTTCAAAGCTGCACATGACATGGAGGAATGTGACAAAAGTAGTGTCCCCACGGGGCCCCGCGTGCTGCACTGAATGGCTGAAGCGTTCAAAGTTCAAATGTGGAAACCACTATGCTACGGTGATACCCATTGTTCGAAACATTGTAGCATGGGCAGCACAAGCCCCCCCAAAAGACATGAACAGAATGGCACAAGGCAAAAGAAAGCATTCGTTCTTCAGCGAATGCTTGCCCCGGCACCCCCTCGACCCTGCAGCACAGTTCCTTCAAACTGTGCTGCCAGTAGCAGCCGGAGCCTGGGCCGCAGCCTGAGCTACAGCCGACTCATTGCCCTGGTCCTGAGCACTAGCCCCAGCGCCAGCTCTTAGCTGACTGGGCTGTGCGGAAAACAAATTGGCCACCTCATCCATTCGGGCTGTGTCTCGGCTTGAGTTTTTCATGAGCTGCACGGCCACTCTGTAGCTTGCCGCCGACTTTGGCGTGTCGAGCAGGAACGATTTTCGGACCCCGTACGTCAGGGAAGTTGTGGTCACCTGTTCGGCCAAGAACCAGCCTTGTGGCACAAAGACGATGTCGTCCTGGGTGATGGTGGTTGCAAAACCGATGACGTCACCCTTGTCATCCTTCAACACCTCATTGAGGGACGTGAGGAAGTCTGCCACTTCCTGCAAGGTCGGGTCCGTCTTCCCCATGCAAGGCACAGCACGGCTGAGATCGAAAGCCACCATGCTCACGGAGCCCATGGCCACCACACGGATCATTGCAGCAGCATTGGGGGCAAGGTAGCCTCCACTCATCTTCGCATCGAAGCCCCAGTACCACATGTTGTTCGAGAAGTTGGCCCCATCTTTCAAACTGGACAGATCCAACGCCTTCTTTGTTGGGAACACCGACTTCACGAAACTCTCTGCTGCTTCCCTGCCTTGCTTGGACAGCACCGGTGCCATAGCCCGGTGATCGGCTTTGCACGAGCTCGCTTTTCTGTACGAACCCCCAAACTCGGAGAGCTTCATGCTGGCCTCGGGATTGTTCCTCCATGTTTTTGCAGTCTCGCTGGCCTTCAGGACCCAAGGACGGTCGAGGTAGTCGTCCACATCAAAGCTTGCGCCCGGCTTGTGAAAGGAATGCCACAGGTCCTCTTTGATTCCGAAGATGTTGTGCGTCTGCTTGTTGAACAGCCTGGCCTTGGCAGCTGCTGACTTGGCTACCTCCTTCACCTTGTCCAGCTCAGCTTGGTCTGCCTGCCTCTTCTTTTTTTGCTCGGCACGTGCTCTGCTGCTCTCCTTCTGCTTCAAGTAGTTCCCAACATCCGTAGAGATCTTCATGATGCTCTTGAAGAACAGCTCGACCACCGGAAAGCTGACCTTCAGCAGCTCCTTCTGCTTCTCAGATGCTTCCAGCGCACTGTGGTACTTCAGGATGTCAACGGCCTGCAGATTGAAGTAAGCCTTCGGCTCGAGGACACTGTCGCCCTTCACAAGCTTGATGTCCTGACCAACAGAACGCACCGATGACGCCAGGGACTCCCGGACATTGTGCACTTCCTTCGCGCACGCCTCGGTCAGGGTGTCGGGGATGGAGACCTCTGTCTCCCAAGTCGTCAACACCTCCCGGCAAGCAGACACACACGAAGCGTAAGATTCAAGAACAGGATCAGACGCAGCCGCAGCAGCTCTGGCTGCTTCCACCTGGGTGTACGCCTCATCCAGCTTGCCCTTTGTAGTCGCTGCCGTCGTGGAGACTGACGCCAGCTTCTCTTTGATCTTCTCGCTTGCTGCAGTCTTGAACGCCAAGAAAAACGGCCCCTTAGAAAGCCTCTCGTACTTGACGCGGGCCTTCTTCTCAGCAGGGGTCTCCTTGTCCTTGTCATCCTCGGCCGGCCTTTTCTTTGGGGTGGCCAGGGGCATGTCCTGGTCCTCCTCGCTGTCCGCCTCACCGTCTTTGAAGAAGCCTTGATGATCACCAGCACGAAGGTTGCTTTTCACATGTTTCACCAGCACACTTCGATCCTCTTTGCTGAGGTCTTTCTCCGCACTGCTTTCCTCAAGAATGCTGCTGCGGGCTTTGTCTCGATCGCGGTGCTCCTCCTCGATGACAGGGATCCAGATGCGGTCACATCCGTTCAAGCCTTTCTTGTCTCTCTTCAACGATGCGTCCTTCTCGTGCTTCTCCCACTCGTCCTTGGCGGCGTCCTTGCTCCATCCCATGACGGAAGAACAATGGATCAACCATTGTCCATACTCGAAAGGCTTGCATCCATCACGATTTCGCTGAATGACGCTGTAGACAAAGATTCTCTTCCACTTTGTCCATTGAATGAGAACCTTCCTCCGCCACTTGCCATCGCTCGGGTTGTCTTCTTCAAAGAGTTCCATTGCCTTCTGAGCACTCACCGAGTCCTTCACGGCTGCCTCCAGCGTGCTTATCTCCCCATCTCTCTTGGCCTGGTAGTACATGTTGTCGTACTTCTTGTTGTGGTCCTCGCACCATCGCTTGCTTTTCTGGCAAGCGAGGGAGCAACCATTCACGAAGCATGTTTTCATCTCAGGCTTCTTCCCGCCGGCTTTCCTCTTAGGCCTCGCTGTCGTGGCGTCCTTCTTCTTGGCCTCTTCCATCTGCTTGACAATGTCCGGTGCATCTGCAAACGCAAAGTCATCGTCTAGGTCCATTGCGAAGCTCTACAGGCCTCTGATGCTGGAAGTTGTCCAGCAAGCTGGATACGAACTTCGCCGTGCCCCAGAGTAACTAAGTCACCTAGTAAGATGGTTGCCTTGTTCAAGCACAGAGAAGCATGCACACCCACACGGCACATGTACAATGCACATTCCGCAAATGCAGTCTGGATGTAGAGCAAATTCTCTGACTAGTGTACTTGCATGCAACATACAGGATGGGGCAATGTGATTGAGACAAGGCGGCCTCAGGTCGCGAGCAAAGGCTGGCTTTTCATCATGCAACTCAACGACACTGCTCCTGGAGAAGAACTTGCAGTTATCAAGCGCACTCGCATCTGCAAACAAGTTACACGCGATGGTTCGAATGTCCATCACTTGTTCATCACAACATGCATGCCATCATTGCCTCCGGCTTGTGATCAAGTGTTCCCAAGCTCTGCTGAACGACACTGGCAGCTCTTTCCTTCAGCGGCCAAAGCGAATCTCAAGATGTCGTCTCAAAGTACTGGGCTTGAGGACAAAAGCATAAACACTCAAAGACAGCTTTAGCAACCTCCACCTATCTCGTAATATCACACATACCTCTTCAGGCAGACCCTCTAAGCCTTGTCCTCCCAACCACACTGCTTGCAATCTACGGGCTGTGCTACCAAAACGGCATGCAGCGAGCAGTTCCTGGTTCGGAGCAGCCTGCAAGCCTTCAAGCACAAAAGACGAAGTGGCAGCCTGGTCAAAATTGCCACCAGCAGCTCACCAGCAACCGGCTAACAGTCGGCCCCAAGACTCAAAGTCTCTTGTGAATCGCAAACGTCTGATGGGCTGCCCAGAGAGAGGCTGGACCTTCCACGAGTCAGGCCTCCAAGACTTGAGCCGCCTCGCCGAAGCAGGGTCTTCTCTGGTTCAATGCTCGCTTCCCTGTTGATCTTGACTGTGTGCGCCAACACGTAGAAAATCCAAGAAGCCATAGTTGGCAAATGCCACCCATTGCCAACCAGCTGTTTCTGGGAACTGCTGGACAGCGACAGCACATGATCCTGAGCCTGGAAAGGGATGGGCCAGCGGGTGGCCTCTGGATATGTGTTGTATCCATGAGCCAAGTACACTTCCTTGTTCAGCACCATCCTCTTCGCAGCCCAGGAATGGATTGTGAAGTGGGTCAAGGCCGAGGGCAGCACCTGCCCGGGGGTGCTGGTTCCTGCACCCAGGGTCTGGTCCAGGTCCGCGAACCAAGACTCCCCACTTACCTCACCAGATTCAAGAAGAGCAGCACGGGCTTCCTCGTAGCCATGGTAGCGATTCAACATCCCGGGCGCATAGATTTGGCTCATGCTCAACACCCGATCTGTTCCTGCAACACGGAAGCCCCTTCGCGATGCCATAGCATTCTCGGCTTCACACACCTCGGACATCGGTGCTACCAGAAACACATCTCCAGTGAGCATGAGGTCTGCCCCACAGAACTTGAGGAAGTGTGGTAGCAAGTCTTCCTGCCCTGGCCCCATCCATGCCACGCTCTGCCGATTCAAGGCGCACGCAAACAGGCGATTCCGTCTCACTGGCCAGCCTAGGGCCATCGGGTTGATCACTATGCTGAGGATCTCATGAGTCTCTTGCAGGACGCCGAGCTTCTCCTGACAAGGTGGGGGCTGGAGGATCTGTATACCCCAGACGAACCACGACCAGACACGTTGATGGTTTCAGCTGTAACTTTTCTAGGCAGAGGCAACGTGGAGACCACGAGTGCTAGGGCCAGGACTGCCACACAAAACCCACCTACGTCTATGGTCCTTTGACGCACTAGTGACTAGTGATTCACTCACACTTCAATTCGACTCCATGTTCCCTGACCTGATTCCCAAAGGCAACCTAACTTTACCCTCTACGCTTAAAGTCACAACGTAGTCTGCATCAGTCTACAGGAAGCAGATGTTGGAGTTGGGATGGTTTTCGCAGCCCCCACACACACACCCGCAGACAAGACACACACACACACCCACACACACACACACACCCACACACACACACACAGAGACACAGACACGCAGGCTCACACACACACACACAGACACAAACACACAACCCGCCTGGACGGGGTAGCGAGTAGTGCACTCGCTGAAGACGACATCCTCCAGGTCCATCTCTGCACGCCGGCGTCTCTCCGTGACCCAGATCGCATGCGGCCTTTCGCTCGGGTCTGCAAAATGCAAGCCCTTTCCAACTGAGCTCCAACCACAGCACGTAGTTCCAGCCATGTTAACCAACAGCTTCTTCCTTGGCACTGGCCCGGACTCAGAGTCTGACTGAAACAGCCGCCTTCGCAACCGTTTCTGGGAAGGTTCTGGGACCTCACCTTCTGGCTGCAGGGCCGGGCCTTCCGACTACACACGGAAACGCAGCACACTGCTTCTCGTGAACAAGGCAATGACTTGTCGCTCCTGCAGGAAACACCCAGGAGCGATTGTCCTGAAGCCAAGCCAACATGTCTGCATAGGCTCGGGCAGTGTCCTCGCGACTCATCTTTGAATTCGGCAGCATAGAATCTAGCATCATCACGGCTGTGGCTGGCAATCTGTCATTGATATCTGAAAAGACACATGTACGGTTCCCGCACATTGCACTGATGTGTGAGAGAACGGTCTGCTGCAAACTGCCAATGTCACAAAAGCGAGCATGCTGAATTGAAACGTCCTGAAAATCATCCACTGCATGTTCTGAAGCAAACAGCTTCAAAGCTTCACGCATCTGTGTCCAGATCTCATACTCACCGGCCAGGCCACTGTAATCCGAATAAACACACATTCCATCCCGCAAGATTGCTCGCAAGCGACTCAAACGCTCCCCATCATTGCCATCCCCTGCACACAGGAGATTCTTCAGCACAGACAAAGGCCAGCTCCCTAGCTCGGCAACCGACACCGGACCCGGCTTGTTAGCAGCCATGCCCTGCCCTACCTCTTGCTGTTGGAAGACTCCAAGGCAGCGTCTCCTGTCTAGGATGTCCCACGTTTTGCTTACTGCGAACGCATGAGAGCGAGTTGAGACTGCGAGGCTAACGCTGAAGTTCTGTTCGTATTGGCATATTGCTTCAGCCCAGATGCTTTGGCTCCTTCCTCGTTCAGCTTCTTTGAACTCGCTGGCTAAGATAAACCTGAGCATTTGTTTGAAAGGAGCCAAACGTGCAACCGGTCTCAGTGTTCGCAGACACACGAGGCACGCAGGACGGCATGCTCACAGGACGACACAGCAATAAAAACCTGCCGCGAAAATATTCTTGTGACTGTTTGTGGCTGCCATGTCTTTTCTGCAAACGGATAACTTCATCATGCACAGTCTCACCAGCGTCACAATAGGTGGGCTTCATTTTACTAGTTTCAATGGGCACTCGTCTTGTTGCATTGTTTCCCTGTTGTATTCCCCAGGATGGAGTCAATGTGCTGCAGAGCCTACTTCAAAGACTCCATGACTCCATATCTGCTCCCACCCATTTCCGAAATTCCGCCGCACCGCTTGCCCCACCCTGACAAGTTCACAAATTCACAAAACTTGACAAGACCTCGACAGTCGCCAATCTTGTGAGTGTGCTGTCTACCGGACCTGAGCTTCTCATCTACATTCTACATTGGCTCCAGTTCAATCTCACTTAACACAAACTTCCCCAAACTTGGCTTCCAAACATACCACATGCCACACCCCACCTGCCGCACGCAAAACGCACCCGCCTTCTTTCATATTGAAGTTTGGGCTGTCCTTTGCACAAACGATAAGTCAGAAAGATCGTGAGTAACAAGACCATACTCCCAGGAATCAGTTTCTCCTCGCTTCACTGAAAATCTTGCTCCTGCACAGGGTGTCCCTCACAAAAAACACTTTATTGAGAAACGCTTCCAGCATCCACTGAACAACAACAGCCCCACAAACAAAATCGTCCTAGCTTGTCAACCGTTTGCTTGAAGCATGGTACAAAAACTCATCTAACAGCAAGTGCTCACACATACTGCATTCCGCAGGAATCGAACAACAAAACCATTCATGCAGCGCTGGTCATGACATGGTGCACTCTGCGTGACTCTCTGTTGCTGCAGTTGCAAGGTTTTGTTCATGTCACGACAACGGCAGCTTGAACGCAACCACAACTTGTCGCGGCAATCATTTCGCTGTGTGTGGAGGCTACGGAGCCTCAAGCCTCAGTGTTTGGTTCCGGGGGCGGCCTGTGACGACCAAGTCGTGGAGTGAGCTTTGGCCGGCCGATTTGGGCCAGGGGACAGCAAGCAATTTCGAGCAATTTCGAGGGTTTCGAGGGCCCCCGGCAAATTTCGAGGAACCACCGGAATTTCGAGGAACCCGCAAAATTTCGAGGAAGTGTAAGAGGCCAGTAAGAGGGGGGGGGCCACGGGCAATTTCGAGGGCCCAAGGAAATTTCGAGGACCCAAGGAAATTTCGAGGGGAAGGCCTAGGAATTTCGAGGGTTTCGAGGGTTTCGAGGGTTTGGAGGGGGTCCGGCCCAGTGACCCCCCGGAAGCCTCCCAGCCCGTCACCGGAGCCCCCAAGCCCCACAAGCCCGCCCCAGCACCCCCGGCAAGCAAAATCATTTCCCGCAGCAAGCTCGGAGCTTCAACGGGCGTATTCATAAAAATGCCAGACCGGCAGACCATTTATTGTATTTCGATCTATTCAGGAATTCAGGGGTCGCCACATGCCACAGCTGGACAGCAAAGGGTTTGCCGCCAAAGTTTGACAAGACACGTCATGACTGCAACACACTGCACAAGTGAACAGCCAAACTCTCGCTCTCACTCTCTTTCTCTGGTACCTGGAACAAAGCGCAGCGACACTGAAGCCTTTTCACGCGGATGCTAGTCACAACACAAGTTTGGTCACGCAGGCATTGAAAGAGCGACAGCAAGCTATGGTGTTCAAGCGCATTTTGCACCATGCTGCGATAGCATGGGGCGAAGCACATCGGCCGGCCTCATTCTGTGGACACACGCCCAGGCGCAACTTGGAAGCACGCTTGCGACTGCAAGACCGGAGGAATTCTCAGGAGGAACCCATGTGCATCAACGGAAAGAATTCACTGGCTTGGAGTCGAGTTGCTCCATGGATGGCAAAGTGCCATCTTTCAAAGCTTTCAGCACCACCTTCCACACCTTGCCCTGGTGGTCTGCCTTGCTAGGCGACTTTCTGCCTAACTGTGCCCAGTATTTCAGCATTCGCAAAGTGACATCCGGCCCATCGATGTTGGAGCTGCGAGTTTTTGTGCAGCTGGCAGTTTCTCCTTCATGCTTGGGATGCTTGCACGTCATCTGAAATCCGGTCTTTGTCGGAGTAATTCTGCACTGGCCATACATGACAGCAACATCGGACCGTCTTGTAGCACCCTTTGCCCTTGGCTTGGCTTTGCCCGCAGCCCGCCTTGCTGCTGGCTCAGAACCACTATCAGAGCCCGAGCTTGAGGACGATGACGAAGGTTCGGCCTCGCTGCTAGAAGATGAAGAAGAAGAGGAAGACGAGCTCGAGGCCGCTTTGCCAGCTGCCCCGGCCTCATCCTGGATGTCGTCCCCACACTCAGCGACAGCATCTTTCTCTCTAGCATCAAGCTCAGCGTCGAGTTGCTCCAGTGCCTCGGCCTCGTCACCCACGGCCGCCTCGGCCTCGTGCACTTCCGCCTCGGCCTCATCTTGGCATTCGAAGTCGGCAGCGTCTTCCAATTGAAGGCCCTTTTTTGCATGGCTACGCTTAACCCGTTTCCTGGGTTCAGGCCGGGGAACCAGAGCAGCCTCGCTCACCCAGACATCCTCGTCCTCCATGAACATGATGGCAGCCTGTCGCCGCTGAGGCTGCTTGCGCTCAGGCTTCCCCAAAAGCTTTGCATAGACGGCTGTGGTCTGCAAGTGTGGCACAGGCTGGTCAAGCTGATCTGCAGTGAGCAAGCAGATGAGATACTCTCGGCACAGGGTCACCTGACTAGCAAGATAATACCATATCTTCGGAGAGCTTCCATGCGTATAACTGGCTCCATCTGCCAAAGACTTCCTAGATTCAACGCTCTGATGCTCCCAGCCCTTCTCTCGGAGCGAAAGAAGCAGCTCTATGATTTCCATTTCCTCAAAGGGCACATCTCGAGCTTTGAAAACCCTGTCGTTGCTCTGCAAAGCAGTCGACACCTGAACATGCCGATGGCCCTGCTGCGTCAAAACCCAGCCACCTTCCACGTCTCGAGTTGCAAGGCCCAGGCTTTCCAGCTTCTGCAAAAGATCTGATTTGCCACTGTGCAAAGGATCGTTACTTGCAACAACATACGGACCAGCTGCAAGCAGATCGTGCAGCAAAGACGTTCGAATCGCCTCTTGGTCTTCAAGGTTGCTGAGGGCAGTGCCATCATCATCTGGCAACCTCATGTGGTAGAACAAATCACTGGTGTGGTCCCATCTACGCATTCGCAACAAGCTGTCCAAAGGTAGAGCCTCCAAGCTGAGAACAACTGGAGTTGCAGCGGCATCAGCGGCATCTGCATCCATCGATTGCAGGCTGACAGGGCTGGAATCCACAAACACACGGTACTGATCATGACTTGTCTTCTTGAAAGAGTTCACCCTCAGAAAGGAAACGGCCCAATCAGACTTCTGCATGCCGGTGCTTCTGGGCACGCGAACATCTCCAACGGCCTTTCGCACGACCTGCAAAAACACATGTCCTGCAAGAGTGAAGGAATTCCAGTCCAAGACAGGCTCCGGATCTTCTGGCAAATGACTTTGCGCAGTCCAACGCAAACTGCTCAGAGCGGCTTCTGAAAACGGCATGGAGAACACAGCATCACAAGCAGACCCCCCGTGCGCATCTTCCAAGAGAGGTGCTATGCTGAGCAAGGCGTATTTCTTCAAGATCTCATCCGAGGCAGCACTGTGACTAAGTTGGCTGCCATGCTCAAGATGCAGTAGCAGCGCTGCCTCCGCAGCGGAGCCACACGCAAGCTGTCCAGCCTGCGCTTACCCGTCGACCCACCTGTGAAGAACTGCATGAAGCTTGAGACCCGGGATCTGCAGATGCTGCTGGTGCCGGTGCTTCCGCAGACGGAGCAGCACTGGCAGCACCTCCACCTCCACCGCCGGCCCCATCGGAGGCCCCACCTGCCCCACCCAGACCCGATCCTGGAGGACCAAGCACCGCTGGCTGCCCTGAACCGGAGCCGTCCGACATATCCGGCCGCGGCAAAGGTAGCAAGGGATTGTCGGGAGGTCGTGGGGGTGCAACATCTGGCCAGGACTGCTCTCTCTGGTACATGGTTCGTGGATCGGCATGGTAGACTATTTTCATGTGCATTGGATCTCGATAATGGGCAATATGGGCTGTGGACGGATGGTTCTGCAAGCCCAAAGCACTGAGAGCCCTCGCGGGACTGTGCACTGAATCATAAAACGAAGCCAGTTTCATCAGCATCTGTGGATTGTCGGCTGTGGCACTTCGCAGATAGTTCATTCTCCGACCCAAGCTTACATAGGCTGGAGTGTGATTCCGGGCCAGGGCGATCTTTTTGTGTATCTGCAGGGGTTGATGTGAACCAGCATGAAGCTCGAAATCATGTCAGCAGCATAAGAACTTAATGTGATTTTGAAACCCGGCCTGGACCTTGCACATACTCTGTCCTTCTAGTTCTGACATTCCCCTATCCTCACCACCCTTCTTCTTGCTTGCTCCCTCCCCTTCTTATTGCGCACACCTTGACCATTGAAAACCGTGCTTTCAACCGTACAGTACACCCAAACCACGACTGCCAATTGCACCATGCAAAACCGAAACACTTTCCGAGCCCGCCTGCGCATGGTCGCCTTCCACTGCTCGCTCTGCGGTCGGGCAATATCGCAGCTTGCCCAAGAAATGCAAAAGGTCCGGCAAGCCTTCAATGTCAGCACCCTCCAAGTACTGCTCTGCTTGCTCCCTCACTGGTGACTGCTGTAACTCGGCCAGCAGTTGGGAACTTCGTGGCATGTCAAGGCACCTCCTGAGAAATCGTTTGGAGACCGCCGGTAACAAATGGGCACACCCGAAGACACAGTAGGGCGGGTGCCTCCAATGATCCAGCCTCAGGTTGAGGACAAACACAAGGTGCGCACGTCCACGCTCAAACTCCTGCAGGATGGTTGCACGAGATGCTGGGCTGATGTCTCTGGGGAGATTGCTCAAAAGCTCTGCAGCACTGGTGTTGTTCAATTCCCGCACAAGGTTGTGAAACTCCAGGGCTGCCAGCTCCGGGGCCCTGCAACCTCTCAAAGGACAGTGGGCCCAGACATCCTTTACCTTTGCAGGAAAGTCTTTGTGGGGAAGTTTGCCATGGCATGGACAAGTTTCTGCCCAATGCAAACACGACTTGATTACCTGGGCTAGGTAACGCAACATCCTCAAAGTGGCCCAGAACTCTGGAGACGTTAGTGCAGAATCCACGATAGCAAGATCCACACCATACCCACCCTCGTCGTTTTGGTTGGCCCGCTGGTTCCCATATCTGTTCAAGTTCCAACCATACCGAAGACTAGCTTCAATCTGCAACAGCTCGACAACACAGTGTGCAAGGCTGCCCCACCGACTTGGATTGAGTTTGGCTTGGAAGGACTTGATTTCAGCTTGAAGGTGCCGGCCTATCCTGCCTGAAAAGCAAGATTCCAGGAGTCGCTACTTGGACTCTCTGCGGCATAAGAATTTGGAAACATGCGTCAGCTGCTTCACAGTGGCATCGAACGTCAACATGGATCTGCCCAAGTCAACAGTGGAATTGTGTATGATGTGCATAAGCCCTGCAACACCCACGGAGTTCCTGAAATCGATCGTAGCTTCAAGATCTGCCTGGTTTGCGAGGGGCGGTGCCAAGTCATGCTCATCCCCACCCTCGGCCTGATACGTCACCCAAGGCAGAATGTTCCTGACCAGTACAGGAGGCACCTTGTGCAGTCCAATCTCGGCACCTTGATCCGTGGTAAATGAAAAGATGGAGTCTGCAAATTTCGCGAGGCCCAAGGCACTTCCTGTCTCCAAGAAAAAGCAATGAGCAGCAGCATGAAACTTATGGTACAACTTCGCATGTCCACTTCCCAGCACAACCGCGGGGAGCAAATGTGTGTCCATGCAACAGTCCATCTCTGCCTGCAGCTCGACCTCTCTCAAAGCTGTCCGTGCCAAAACGTCATCGTCCGGAGCATCGAGATAACTGCTCCATAGGTTCTGTGACTCCAAGGCATGGAGAAACATATCTTTGCAATTCGATCTCAACATGGATGAAACTCTGATGAGCTCAAAGTCGTAATGACCCTGAACTGACGAATCCACCATGACATATCTCACAACACCGCCTTCTTCATCAGCCCTTGCATTCACAGAACGCCGGTGCAGCATCAATGCAACATCGACACTGAGCCTTGCTCGGGATACCTTGGTGGCACTAGGCACCCGCAGGCCCAAACCATGAGCATCACCATTAACAGTTGCCAACACAGCTTCTGCAAACACCTTGGGAAGCGCAATTTCCACTGCCTTGAGCAGGACCTGCTTCAAGTCTGCAACATCTCTCAAGTGACTGCCCATCAACATACATTGTATAATGTACGTAGCTTGAAAAGGTAGTCGCGGTGTGCAAACCCGGCCTTGCGACTGCAGCACCCTGCTGTTCAAATGATTGACATCAAGCTCATCGCGCATACGCTGCATCATGTACGCGGCCCGATAGCATGAATCTAGCAAAGAAGCATCCTGCTCAGAGTTCGGGTTGAGTCGCAAAGCCATCTGCCTAATCGTGTCAGCAATTTCTTCAGCCATACTTGCAGACAATCGTGGTTCTGCGAAATTCTGCACCTGCCGTGGCACAACAAACTGATTGGCCAAGTCGGGAAGATGAGACCAGCCAATGACTCTGGATCTGTGACGAACACCCACTGAAAACAAGTGCTCCGGGGAAGGATCTGGCAAGGCAAAATAGGACCAATGTTTTCTCGCAAGAAAAAAACTATGAGCTCCGGGAAGACGCACAACCAAGTGACAATCAGAATCAACCCATTCCGGCAGAGGAACCCCAAAATCTTGCGACAGTTGCTTTACAAGATCTTCAGGAGAAAAAAGATCCAACTTTGAGAAGAACGACTTCAGCTTGCGACGGTCTGTGACTGGCAGTTCCGTGGGCTTTGCGAAAGGCAGGACCTGCTCCACCTTGAAGTAGTAAAGCCCTCCCGCGTGCAAACAATCTGTGCCGAACACTGCTTGCCAGAAATTATACTGATCCCGCTGACCCTGGTCCAGGACTGCTAAAGCGTGGTAGCGAAAACCAACATCCAATAACGCGACACCCACAATTTGATCATGCTTCAGGTCATGTGCCCAGGGATCCTGTCGGAACAAGGCTGCTTCAGCGTCACTCATGCATTGCAAAGAGCAGCCATTCCAATCCGTAGAATACCGGCCCGAGAGGGAATTGCCCCATGACTGTTTCTGGCCGTGCGTTGCCAGCCAGCAACAAAAGACCATCAAGAAACGCATGTCCTGTTCCCACAAACACAAACTGGTTGCTGCCTGGCATAGGGGGTCCAAATTGGGGGGGGCTTGTGTATCTTGAGTGTGCTGGCCTTCTGAACTTCTGGGGCCTTGTGGGGTTTACCCGCGAAATTCGGGCACCTACTCGCGATGCCTGTCCTGTTACTATTGCACCGTTGCATGGTAACGTCGTAACTTCATACACTACACGATGTTGTCTGCAACATTCAGGCTCAATTTTGCATTGCTTCTTGTGCAACAAGTGGGCAGCGGCAATGCCCCAAAGCCGTCCGATCAAAAAAACTCTCGCAAAAAAAAACATGCAGTAACGCAATGACAGGAGTCTGGAGTCATGCAGTGGACTTCAGTGGAACCTTCAACATCCGGCAGGCTCGCAAGCAGCCATGGCATTCGGAATTCTGAGTGTGCCCTGGGAATCTCCCATCATGCCAACCCCGCGATTCTCCGTCGGACCTTTCAAACTTGATTTGTATCAGAAAAATCGCAAGCCTTCTTGAACTTCGAATTTTGACAGCAAGTCCAAGGGCCAAGGACTCCTGGGACCCAAGACATGGAAAGTACCTAGCTCAAAATTGATGGCTAGCTTCATCGGAAACATCTGATTGATCACTTCTTCCTTCCCCCGCCCCCTAGTTGCCGTTGGAATCTGAAATTTTGCCCCTCGGAAATCCTGATAATATCCTTGCTCCCAGCACAAACCTAAATCCAAAGCCAAAGCGCCCTAAAGTTACCAAAGTAGTCTAATCCTGCTGGGCCTGCCTTGGCATTTCCTTCTGCAGCCATTTTGCGGCATGTGAACATTCGAAAAGGCAACAAGAATAACTTTATTGGCTGGGACTGAAATAGAGCAGACTAGAAAGCTGTGCACTAGACACTGACCGAAGGACCGAAGGAAAACACGTTTGCAATAACTGCATAGATTTCAAACAATACAGCACATTTTCTCGCCCACATCATCGAACACAAGGAAACTAGACAAAGCAAACTCAGATTTAGAAGCCCAACCTTCGACTCGCAACAAAGGGCAGTCGCAAATCGTAAAGGCGAGGCAGAAGTGCCCCCGTCCCGGCCTGTCCCGTTAGTCTCTGACATGTTTTCCAAAAGAAAGAGGCAAAGAGGTGGACCATCTATGTTATGCACTTTTATGCACTGCTGCACTATGCACCGAAAGCCGAAATTGGTTTTCCCAATTTTTTCTGACGATGCTACATCACTTTTTTCCAGAGAGACACAGACTCGTGACTTCGTCAATGTTCTTTCAGGCTACTCGGCAGCTCAACAAAAGTTTTCCGTGTGCCACAGGATTTGGCACCTGTTCTTTACAAGTTACACGAGTTTCAAGCATGCTTAGGGGGAGCTTCAGCGCACGAACCATGAAGCATGATAGCCACGCACTGCCCTCTTCCCTCACATAGCAGTTGGTGTTTGCTGAGCTTGGCATCGCTTTTGGACACGAAGCGGTGACCACAGTGGTGGGACCCCCAACACCGAACCCCCAAGAACGAAACAGGAAAGTTAGCGCTTGAAACCCCAAACATCCCAAAACCCTGGGGTTTGGGGAATAAGAAGAACCATAATAGTAAGGGCAGCAAAACTGCTCACAATCATGCGAGGACCCGTAAGAAGGATCCTTAGTACTGCATAGTTGTTCCTTGATTAGTTTCGGGGCATTGTCGGAGAAAGCCTGCATGCCAAAATGACCCCCCGCCCGCCAACCTACGCTTCTTTGAGCCCTAAATCCTAAACCCTCTCAACCCCTCAAACCCTAAACCCTCAAACCTTCAACCCTCAAACCCTAAACCCTAAACCGCCTAAACCCTAAACCCTACACTTTTCGGAACTGGCGTTTGCGGAGCTTGGTGCCACAGTTGGCTTCGGGTTCGGTTGTCTCCCAATTGGGGGGCGGGGGGGGGGGGGGGTGGGTGGCTTAAATAGGGTCTATTTGGAAGCTGGGACTCGGGTTTTCTTATAGCCATACACGTTTCCACGAGGGTACGCTGCTGTCACGTCAGTCGTACTATGGAGGCCTCAGGAACAAGAACCAGGTAGTTCCTCTTTTCTCTTCTCTTTTTCTCCTCAATCCTAAAGTCGAAGGCTCTCGTGAGGAGAAGAGAAGGGAGAGAAGGAGGGAAAGATAAGAGGAACACGATTTTCATGGGAAGAGCCAAGAAAAGAATAGAAGAGAGATAAAACAAGGCGCAAAGAAGATGGTACTCTTCTTTATCTATCCTCTCTCCCTTATCTCTCCGTTCCCTCTGTCTTTTCGAAATGAGAAAAACAAAAAGAAAGATGAAAAGAAGAAGGGTTAGGAAAAGAGCCGAAGAGATAGGCCGAAAAGAGGGGTATGGTGAAGTACGGCAAAGGTCCACGCACAAGGAGTCACCTTCTGCTTACCCTTCCACTGCTTGATTTTACAAGCTCCTTTCTTGTGTTTTATCAGTTAAAATTAAAAGGAAACAGAAGGAGAGAAGGGAAAGGGAAGTGAGAGAGGAGAGACAACAAGGAGGCCATTTTAATTTCCTGTGAGTTATCAAAAGGAATGCAATATTATGGGAAGAGCAATGGAAAAAAAGAGTGGAAGAGAAATTAAGACAGGAGAGGGAGGTGCAAAAATAAGGCAAAGAGAAGATGGTGCGGGTGCCGTTTTCATCTCACCTCTCGTTCTTATCTTCCTCTTCTCTGGTTCGTTTCCCTGTGAAATAAAAAAACAAAAGGAAGGACAATGAACATAAAAAGGAACCCGTTTTCGTTTTCCGTTTGGGCACAAGGAAAAAAAACAGAGGCGATAGGGCGAGAGGAGGGGTTTGCTGAAGCATGGGGAGGGTGTACGGGCAAGGGGCCAACTCCGCCCACTTCCCCCATCCATTGAAAGAGGAAAAGGAACAGGGCCTCCATTCCCCTCTTATTCTTCCTTTCTTGCGTTTTTGTCGTTTAGAAGGGAACAGGAGAAGAGGAGGGAGAGAGAAGGAGAGAGGAGACATAAAGAGGGTTGCATTTTTAATGGGAAGAGCAAAGAAAAGACCAGAAGAGAGATGATGGGGCGCACAGAAAATGGGCAGATAAGAAGAGAGGAAAGGGAATGACCAAGTACAATGAGGAGTTCTTCAATTTCCCTCCCTATCTCTTATGTTACTTTTCCTTCTTGTGGGGTGTCCCTTTTTCTCTTGAAGATGCAGAAAACGATTGAAAAGGACACCCGTTCCATCGCCCATATGTAGGGAAAAAGAGAGAGAATCATGAGCATCAGCTGGGCTTGCTGCCAATCCAACATGGGCGTCCCTTTTAATCGCATTCTGTGTCCTTTTTTCTCGCTTGAAGATGCAGAAAACGATCCAAAAGCACATCTGTGGGAGGAAGAGAGAAGGAGAGAGGAGAGATACCAAGGATTGCATATTTAATGGGAAGAGCAAGGAAGAGAATAGAAGACAGATGAATAGAGAAGATGGCGCTCGTCTTTATCTATTCTCTCTCCCTTGTTTCTCCCTTCCCTCTTTCTTTTCGAAATGAGAAAAACAAAAAGGAAGAACTATGAGAAGGAGAAGAGTAAGGAAAGGAACAGAAGAGATAGGCCGAGAGGATGAATATGATGGAGTATTATGGAAAGGCTCACGCGCAAGGAGTCACCCTCTGCTTACCTTTTCACTGCTTTATCATATGAGTTCCTTTCTTGTGTTTTATCAGTTAAAAGGAAGCGGAAGAAGAGAAGGGAAAGGGAAGTGAGAGAGGAAAAGGATGCTATGTTTCCCGAAGCGTGCTGCAAGGAATAGAAGAGACAGGAAGCAAGGAGACGGAATCACAAAATAAAGCGCAAAGCTGTACATATCATCTCTCCCTTGTCTCTCCCTATTCCCTTTCGAACTAGAAAAAACCATTCTTGCTTTTCACAGATAGGTTCCCTCTCTCCTCTTCAGGAAATCCCCTTTCCCTTATGTTGCTTTTTGAAGCGAATAAGAAAAATAGCAGATAAGAAGAGAGGAAAGGGTCAATTTCCCTCCCTATCTCTTATGTTGCTTTTCCTTCTTGTTGGGTGTCCCTGTTTCTCTTGAAGATGCAGAAAACGATTGAAAAGGACACCCGTTCCATCGCCCATGTGTAGGGAAAGAGAGAGAATCATGAGCATCAGCTGGGCTTGCTGCCAATCCAACATGGGCGTCCCTTTTAATCGCAGTCTGTGTCCTTTTTTATCGCTTGAAGATGCAGAAAAC